GTCTCAGGCTGAATCAGGGCTCTGGGCTTCCAGTCTGCTCTATAATACATAGATTTCTTTAAAGAAAACAGCAGAGAAATTTTTAAAAAACAAACTTATACTTCAAAATGCAAGTAACCCTCTCTGTATGCTTTCTTTAGAAGCTCCTACAAAGCCCGTTAAGGAATTTGTCTTTCCTCTGGGTCATTACCCAGCTTCATGTTTATCCTTAGATGTGATTCAATACTATTGTTCATTTTTGTTCTCAAAACTAGAAAAATAAATCCATATATACCATATTATAAGCCATAACTATCAGTAAAGAATACAGAATTGGAAACCACAGATGCAAGAGGAGAACCCAGAGGCAATTTCAAAGCAGGTTGTAGTCTACTTTTAGGCTGAGAGGCTCGTAAAACATAACAGAAATTTCAAGTAGTTGTGAAGAGGCAGTAGGAATCATACTTGGCTGAAATAATCTATCCAGGAAACAGGCATGTCTTAGCCTGGACCATGAGCCATAGATACAGAATCAATTGGGTATAAAAGATAGGTTTTAGGGGCACCTGGCTGGCTGAGTGGGTGGAGCATGTGACTCCTGATGTTGAGGTTGTGGGTTCAAGAACCATGTTGGGTATAGAGATTACTAAGAAATAAAACCTTTAAAAAAAATAAACACAGGTTTTAGAATCTATGTGTTCTGGAGAACTTACCTATAGCCACTGCATAAGAACATCCCAAAGTTGCTTCAATTCAGGTGGCTGATTGAGTCAGGGAAGCTGTTTTAAGTAGAGAAGACCCAGACTATGATTGGTGTATACTGAGGTTTGGCTCTTGGAGGTACCTTGACAAAAACGATGGTCTCAAGTTGAATTACTGACATGGCAGAATTTAGGAACTAAATCACCTTTGGCTCCCAAAAGCAAGGGCCAGGGAAGTAGTAGTATGGGAATGGAAGTTAGAGGAAAATAGAACCTTCTAGAGGAAGTTAAATTGTATACATCAGGACTAAGAAAGTTGTTCCGGGATTGGGAGGGAATCCTAGAAAGGTCTCAATTAGGGATGCTGAAGAGAAATTCCAGGGGCAAAGAGTCCAAATCTAGCAGAATTGATTGTCTCAGGTAACAACCTTGGTTGTTATTGTAATACATTACAAACTAGGTAAGAATTTCCCCAAGAGGTATCCTAGGGGTGAGGGAATCCGTAATCAACTATACTAGGGAAATTGTCTGAAAATGCAGGCTAGCCTAGCATCCGAATTTCTTCTCAGAGAGGACTATTTCCTCAGGAGTATTGCCCAAAGTGAATCACAACCTCATGCCTATTTTCAGAATTCAGCCTTTTCTTTATCCTTTCCACCTCCTTAATAGTGCTAAAACCTGGACCAGTTATAATTCAGTGAACTGGTAATTCTGTATCTCATGCTTGATTATACTATCTTTATAATCAGATGTTACCACACAGACTTACCATAGGGCCTTTCATGAAACGGGATAAAATGCCACCACCACAGTGGCAGACCACCTGAACTGAGTATCAATTTCCAAGATAATTGTATTAACATTAGTCTTCCTTCCCTAATGTGGACAGAAGCGTGCAAGAAACTTCATGTGAACTGGCTTTGAATCTTGATTATTCAAGTATATTGTCCATTTTTTTTTACTTCAGAATAACTGGGAGTTGTTTTGTTTTGGGGGTGGGAATAGGGAAGGAGCCTAGCAATTGAAAGGAGAAGAATGAGGGAGGGACATAACTAAGGTATGACCGTTGTACAGTTGACTCCAAGGCCTTTGTGGAAACCACATGGCAGGAAGGTTTGGGACATTTACCTTCTACCAGCTAACCTCCAGTCCGGCACTGGATTCCTCTGATGGAAATTCTGAGAAGCTGACGCATGACTCGGCTTTTCCTAGTGGGATGCTCTCAGGAGACAGCCCATGCTGCTGATTCTGCCTAGCTCTGGAGGCAGAGGCAGCAAAAGACTAAGGATTTTTTCCCCCTCTTGTATAAATAAGACCAACTACTTGAAATAGAGTACAAAAAAAGAAAAAAAAAACACCTAGCCAAAAATGGTCTCTGCTAAATTAGTTTAGGTATACACCTTCTCCAGGAAGTACTCCCATATTTGCTGACCCCTGTCCCTAAGCTGGGTCAGGTCCCTGATCCTTTCTTCTCAGCTCCCAGCCAGTAGCTCTATCGCTGCACTTACCCCAATATGATGATGTTTCAGTATCTCACTAGAAAAGGCTTAACTTTGTTGTGCCTCTCGTAGTCTGTCGAAACCTATGGGCTAATTTGCAGAACAATGTTTTTCAGTGCATGGAATAAAATACATAGGATTACAAAAGAAACCAATTAAATTGAAATATAGTTCTTAACTCCAGACAACCTCCGAAGTATGAAGTCCTTGAGTGCAGGAACTCTGTCTTCATCTCTGTACTGCCAGTGCCTAGCACAAAGCCTGGCACGTAGATGGTACTTATAAATGTTTATTTAATGAATGAACAGAAATATAGATGGCTACTGCCAAGTCAGCCTGAGGAATGATTCATTGCAACTGCTTGTGCACATACCAATGGCTTGCATATTTCTCACGCTGTCTGAGATCATTTAGACCAGGGCTCTGAGGAAACCCCCACACAACAGGTGCCACAGCAGCTAGCAATAATGACAGGCTATTGGAAGACCAGGAAAACAACAAAGCTTGTGTATTTCCACCAGCCGAATATTCAGATAGTGCAAGTAAACAGGCTCTGTCTTTAGGAGGAAAAGATCTCTTGACTTTGGAAGCATGATGCTCACACTGCTTTAAAACACTACCAACAACAGCTGACAGAAGAAAGAAAGGAACCTGAGCTAGTGTGTGGGTGTTCTCCAGGGCTCCCCCTCTGTCCTGAATCGGACCTTGCATCTCTGGGAAAGAGAAAAGTGTCCCTAAAAAAACGATAGGGGTGACATGTGCCTTCCTAGGGTCAAGTAGCAGTTTTAGGCTTAAACTGAAATTTTGGTTTTGTTTATGTACCATCAGAAAACCTAAAGAAGCAATAATAAAAGCCACTTCCCTCGCTAAAGGGCCAAAGGTTTGTTCTAAGCTGATTGCTACATCTATTGAACATTTTGAAGAGAAAAGTAAAACCCCAGACAATTTTAAAGCTGAAAGCCACAATTATATGGGGTTAAGAAATCTCACCCTTAAGGCTTTTAAGATTGCCCTCCCAAGTTAGAGGGCTTCTTTAGCTATTAAAGCCATCTGAAAGACGGCAGAATGCAGTCTTCACTTGCTTGACAACAAGGTTTCCAACATCTGTTGGAAGAAACATGGCTTCAAGTGGGTGCCCTCTTAAAAAAAAAAAAAAAAAAAAAAAAAAAAAAAAAAAAAAGGAAACTATAAGCCAAAGTTTTGCTTTTAATTAAAAAAACAAAAACAAAAAAACCTCCCACTCCTAAGGTGTGTGCTTTCTTTTTGACCTCTTTTTCCTTTAAATTGTCTGCAGTTTCCTTATATTTTATCTAGTGCAGTAAACAATGCAATCAAAGAAATAAAAACCAGGGTCCACTCTTGCCCCAAACACTGAAAATGGTCAAAGAGCAGGAATCACAGCACAGAAAATGGCCCAGCTCTAAACATACAAACAACATAAAAAAAAATAATAATAATAACAACACCCCCCAAAGATATTATTATTGACATTCCTGGTACATTTCCTATAATATAATGTTGCAGACAATGCTTCTTTCCCAGGGAGTCCAGCTCGCTCAGGAGGAGACATCTACTTGTTGCCTCAGGATAGGCTGGGGCTGTTGAGTCTTCTCTGCCAAGCCTAAGGTGGTTTTTTTTTTTGTTTTTTTGTTTTTTTTTTTAAGAGCTCAATATCTCACAGAAACATCTGTGGTATAAATGAATCTAAAGGAGGATGAAGGCAGGCAGACACCTGTCACTGTTCTCCAAATCAGCCAAAAAGCTGAAGAGCGTGGGATCCAGGAGACAGATGCCATTAACAGTTGAGGGATGGAAGGGAGAACAAGAGGAAGCACCAAATGAGTGGCTGCTTTTGGTTCCAAAGCCAAAAAAGGGCCCCACCAAAAAGGGCAGCTGGTCTGGATGAGGAACTACCCTGCACCAGAGTCATGCAATAAAAACTATGGCCTTGGAGCCCCACCTCCATGACAGCCACAGTCCAGGAACCAGAGAAATTTACACCACATCACATAGTTTGCAAATGAATGGATTGATCCTAGTTTAGGGGGGTTAAGTGCTTTGACAAAATTGGGGAAGGAGGGGAAAGTGAGCTTGAAACCCAGATTTCTATTTCTGCAAAGTCACAGGCCCCAGGCCCCTGATGCCACTTGCACGGAGATGTACCCTTCCACTTATTACTGGCCTCTCCTCAAAATGGCACCCATGGTAGTAACCCCTTAGAGATATCAAAAAGCATCAGTTGCACTTCTGGAAGTAAGATAATTTCCTTGCCCCATCCTGACCAAAGCACTTCCCTTTTCAAGCTGCTGCTGGTATGCCACCTTCCCCTCCCAGCACAGTTCAACTTGCTTTTGTTTCAGAGTTTTGCACTAGCCTCTGAGGGCCCTTTCCAGGATACAAAATAAAGTATCCTCTGCATCCATGTGCAGGTGGGTTGCCTTCCAGTGTCAGATCTGCGTCCCAGAGTTTGGCCAATGCATCTTTACAAAAATAAAACCGCACGTGTACACAGACAGACTAGCCTGGAAAGGGCTTTCCGGACAGGGTTTCTGGTTGTCTGGATGCCTCCCCTAAAAGAACTAACTTTCTTTGCGTAAAAGGATTTAGACATTGAGTGACCTACTCTCAACTTCCGGAAGGACAGCTTGTTTTTGTCCGTTTTTCAATGAGGGGGAGGGAGGGACCCAACATTTTCAGTTAGAACAATGAGATTTTGTTTTAAAAAAAGGATCCTATGTGGAAATGAGTGGGACAATGATAAAAATAAACAAATAATTAAAATTCCAAACCAAAGCATATCTCCTGGCCCTGAGATCCCCAGTTAATCCTCTAAGACCACAATCTCCACATTGTGGACTTGATGCTGGTGGTCTTCCATCTCAGCCACAACTTTCTCCTCAGTCCTCAGCTCTGTCTCCAAAATAACTGCTTTGCCCTCAGTATCCTCAGCCTCTGGGTCTGGGGCTGGGTCAATCTCAATGATGGTCTGCCCATCTTCCGAGGTGCTTTCAACAGCCTGGATTGCCGAGGTCAAGCCGGACTCCATGGCCACCAGCTCCACGGGGCTCACCATGGTGGTCATGTTGCCCAGGGTACTCCCATCCTGCATGGCAGTGGAGCTTAGCAGTGCTAAGCTAGATGAAGGATGGATGGTCACTGTGTCTGGTGAGCTGCTCTTGGCAGAGGAGACCACTGTGGCATAGCGGAAGAGCTGAGGGCCAGAAGGCAGTGTGTGAACAGTCACAGGACTGGAGCCCTGGCTGAGGGTGGCCACTGGAATATTGCCCATGGAAAATGACTGGCCCACTGGGGTGATGGTGATGGGTGAGATGACTGTGAACTGAGGCTGCTGGACCGGAGGAGAAGGGCTCAGGACTGTGGTAGAAGCTGGCCGCTGGAGCCGGGGCCTTTTTGGAGGCTTAGGAGTGCTCACAGGCATCAGTACCACATTTTGAACGGTCTGGGATTTCAGCCTGTGATCCTGAGCTTGCTTCTTCTGCTCTTCCAACTGGCGTTCCAACTCTGTGGAAAAAAAGACAGACTTTGTATGGAGAGAAGTATAGTCTTGGAGAGAGTAAACAGAGTCAGGAAACCTGAGGTCTTGTTCTGGTTTTGCCACTGTGTAGCTTCATTGTTCTCAAAAGAAGAAACCAAACTGGATGATTTAAAAAATCCTTGCAGCCATTGCATTTCATTGCTTGATTATAGGCAGGGCAACGATTCAGAATCTTTCTCGGGCTGTGATCCTACTATAGCTCATCCCTAGAAGCACCTGTGGCATTTTGTCACCTGTCACCAAAATGCAAAACAAGCCTCCAGTTGATTTTACAGCTTATAGATACCCACCTTGGGTCTATAGGTGAAAATAAGGAGTATCTGCACAATCCCTTTGGAACTAACATGGGCCTACAGAGGAGCTACAATGGCTGCTCCCCCCCAACCCAAAAAACAAAACAAAACAAAACAAATGATTCCTAAACTGTTTTTCAAGACAGGATCATCTCTCTGGTAATCTTAGTCTACCAATGGTCTTAGTCTACCATTAGCACCCAGAGAAGTATACAGAAAGTTACAGAAGTCTCTAGGAATTACAGAACTAAAAGAGGTCTTAGAGTTTATTTTTTTAATGTTTATTTGAGAGAGAGAGAGAGAAAGCGGGCGATGGGGCACAGAGAGAGACAGGGACAGAGGATCAGAAATGGGCTCTGTGCTGACAGCAGTGAGTCCAATACAGGGCTTGAACTGATGAGCCATGAAATCATGACCTGAGCTTAAGTTGGACACTTAATCAACTGAGCCAACCAGGCACCCCTTTAACACATTAATTTTAACAGGGATCCATAGGGGTAAAGTCACTTAAGGTCTCAGAACTTGGGCCAAGGCAAAAGTCTTCTGATGACCAACCACAGAAGTGGTGGGTGTGCTTTCCCACCACAATATGTCTATCACTATCTCTCTCCCAATGTACAATCCAACCTGGTGACCACTGGTGAGTCTGGTTCTATACCAGAACTTCCTCTATTGCTTAGTACCTGAGAAGCATTCAACAAATAATCAGTTACAAATGTAGGGCACTTTGTTCCCTTTGGAACACCAAGAGCAAGTTAATTCCTTGCTTGGAATAAAAGGAGTAAGTAGGAATCAAGAACATTCAAAAAATTTTAAATACTGCCTTATAAGTTACAAAATATTGCATTTTTTCCATTGTCAGTAGTAAGCAAAGAAATGTGAACCTCAAGAAGATAACAACTACATCTATAATTTTTTAAAAAGTTAAATCAGAGAATATTTTAAGTAACAGCATCCAATGTTTGTGTGCTCAAAATGGTGACATAAGTTGGTATAATCTTGGAAATTTGGCAACAGGTCACAAAAATGCATTAAAAAAATTTTAATACCATTTAAAAAAAAATTTTTTAATGTTTATTTTTGAGAGAGAGAGAGACAGGGCACGAGTGGGGGAGGGGCAGAGAGAGAGGGAAATACAGACTCCGAAGCAGGCTCCAGGCTCTGAGCTGTCAGCACAGAGCCCGACACGGGGCTCAAACTCACAGACCGTGAGATCATGACCTGAGCCCAAGTTGGACACTTAGCTGACTGACCCACCCAGGTGCCCGATTTTTTTTTAACTTTTTTTTTAATGTTTATTTATTTTTGAGA